GGGGGGGGGGGGAGGGTTAAATGAGATTGAGCTCAAATTGTCGCCCCTAGAAGCTGCATAACTTGGGAACACTAATTATCAAGGGTAAGGAAAGTTCTCTATTTTGTGCACAAGGTAAAGAGTGTATTATTTTAAAACATTAAAAGCTCAGGCAACTTATGCATGTGAAATTTACTCTGAAACAGTTAAGCTTATCAACTATATTTTATAGGTTATATATCGTTATAGCATAAGAGACCAAAATGCAGTCACTACGATCAAATGCAAGATTAACTAATTCTTGCAGTAGTGCATGCTGAACATTTGTTAAACAAAAACTTTTAGGCTGAAATATAAGCGGACAGATGCTAGTCTCGGTAAATGGTCAAGCAATAATTTAATTGAAAAACATCGATCAAAGCAAGAAATATCGATCTCTCTTACTATTACTCACTATGTTTAGTTTATGCAATAATATTTGAATGAACGTGGAGTTTAAGAAAGAAAAAAAAGATTTGATGTATTAGGATAAAATATATTAAGAAAAAAGAAGAGAATATAAAAAGTAAAAGGTAAGTTTCTTTTCAATCATGGACAAATTTTTTATGTATTAAGGTCTTTAACGTAGATATTATTTGGGAAAATAGGAGCAATATTAACTTTTTTTTCCTTGTATATCTGACGAATTTCATTAATGGAAATATGTTTCACATTCATGCTTCTTGGCGGGAACTTACAATTCTAACGAGATGTACTATTAAAAGTAAGATATTTTGTACCTAATTAAATATATATTTTAATTATTAAATGTAGTTTTTAAATATTACACGAATAATATATTATTTGAGTAGGAAAAAAGTTCAAAATAATTTATATTTTCTATACGATCACAAAAGCATGAAATCTCAATAAATAATTAATTTTTTGAATTAATAATTTAGTAAAAAAATTAATTCATTTCTTTTTAAAAATCATTAGGTAAGTAAAATTATTTATCAAGTTGACAAAACTCTTAAATACATAAATTTATTCACAAAAAGAGCATCAGCCATGAAAGAAATAAAAAAAATAGAGAAAACATTTATTATAATATTAAAAGTTAAATTGCTAAAAATGCTAAGTTTGAAGCATTAAGGATGTAACATAAAATAAGAGGTATTCAAAAGAAGTTATCATTATTATTTTTCTTTAAATGATAGCTTTCTATAATTTTTAGTATAGTATTACATTGTTTTTTATAATTCAATATTAGTTATTTAAAACTTTATATTGTTATTTGTCAATATTTTTCTAGGAGCTATAGTTCTACCTCATCACTCACAAATTTCTAAAAGATCAAAAGATTCAAAATTTTTATTTATGCTATTATGTTTAAATAATTATGGTAAAATTAAATATTTTTTATGTGTTATTTGTTTATATTATTTGGTAATAAAGATAATAATAATTTTTAGAAGATATTTCACTCCTCATAAATCATAGTAAGATATATAAACACTTACGTGGAGTAGGATTTCTTTGTTTTATTAATTTTAGGAACTTATATTTTTTAATATTTAACTCAAACACATTATTTAATAATATTTACGTAATTTTTAAAATTTATATATTTATTGATATAGGTACACGTGCAAAGCGCGTACCCTAAGACTAGTTAATTAAAAAATGGAAAGGGCAAAAACGGACAATTTAACTCAAACGTAGCTCTTTATTTTTTTTTCCGGTATGAAGCAGTGTCAAACAAAAGTATTACTTCCAAGTTCCAAGTTCGGATTAAAACTTTTCTCTATATAAAAATAAAATCAAAGAAAACCCTTCCTCTTTGAGAATTGGGTGGGAGGATGAGCTTCTCCTCAGTAGTAGGTCGAATGAAAGACAAAAGTGCAGGACAGGAAAAATAAAAAAGAACCAATTTGACTCAACATTTTCTGACATAGTTCTGAAATTCTATTACAAAAATACCAAGATTCCATATATAGAGCCCGTTTGGACATAAGGAATTTTTTCATTTTCCTTTTTTTTTGAAAAATTTTACTTTTTCTTGAAATCAGTGTTTTATCATAAAATTTTCAATTTCAACTTGAAGATAGATTTTGAAATTTTTCGAAAATGTGAAAAACTCCAAAAAATTGTTTTTCAAAATTTTTACACTAATAAAAATATAAAATTATATTCATGTCCAAACACAACTCTAATTTTCAAATACCATTTTCACTTTGAAAAAAATTTCACTTTTATTTGAGACTTCACAATTCTTTATGTCCAAACGCCCACATAGTGTGGAAAAGTTGTCAACAGTATCCAAATATCAAAGCACCTAACTTTCTCTATCTTATGAAATTTTGTTCTAATTTCATGCAAGAATGTCGGATTTCATATTATTAGAAGCAAAAGGAAATGGGAAGTTATCATAAGAATAAAAAAATGGGGAACTCTACACGTCCTGTCGCCCATACACACACCTTTAATTTTTATACATTAACACTGTAAATTTTACATTATCAGAGATTCGTACATATACTACTCATAATAAATGCAATGAGAGACCTGAAAAATAAAACCCTTAGGCGCCATTTTGTTACCAGGATAAGGTATAATAATTGGGGATAAAATGTGAGATTATTTTATCAGGTGCTTGGATAGATTATTTATTTTGGTATAAGCAATTCCTAATTATTTATACCACGATTGTGATATTATTTTTATAACACACTCAAACACGAGATAGTAACCTCGAAATTGCTAATCTCGGAATAAAACAACAAAATGACACATTACCCTTCTTCAAAGCTCTTTTTTCCGAATTCCTTTAAGAAAGCAAGCTTTTATATATATATATATATATATNTATGTATGTATAGTGGGAGATCCAAAATTTTGATTTCATAGGTCTAATATTTAAGTTCTTATCGTTGCATATATTGTACTTTTGAATTTGTGGGTTGAGCATGTAACAATTGTTGAAAGTTTATTAAATTTTCACAAATAAATATGCTTCGTATTGAGATTACTCAACAAATAAGATTGCATCCGCCTCTGCATGTATATCACATTTTTACTCCATCGAACCAATATATACTAATTTTTTTTTAAAAAACAAATCTTCTCAATGAAAGTATATACAAAATAATCTTGTCATTACATAATCTCTATTTTGTAATCCTCACATTATAATTTCAATATACTTAGGTCAAAAAACTAAATAATCTCTTGCAGTAAGATGATTAAAGTAACTTACTGGAGTGGCCGTGTTTAATAAACTCAGCTTGCTGCGTAGACAACAAAGTAGGATTGTTGAATTGATGAATTGTGCAGCAAACTCCATAACTGGATATAACCTGCATTTTCTGGTTGTTTTTAATATTATTCTTTCTCCAGAATATATAGTGGGGGGTGGGGTGTGGGG